ACTCAAACTCATTATCAATTCAATGCTTCAAAAAGTCGGTCAATTTTGAAAATTAAATTTTTAGATCCAATTAGTTTAGTTTAGTTAGATAAAAATCTATGGAATGAAGATTTTGTAAGATTTAGTGATGGATGAGTGAAGTTTATATGGTGAATCATAGGTGCCGTCTTCGCTGCTGCCATTTGTTGCTGGTATTTCTTCTTCATAAAAAGAAGAGAAGAAAATGAGCCTCAAAAGTATAAAAATAAAATAAAAGGAAACATTAAAAGTAGAAAATTAATAATGAAATAAAAAATATTTATAAAGTTAAAGTTTTATTATTTCTTTTTGTTCCCACTCTCTCAAAGAGAATGAACTACACATTCTTTGCCACCTCACCACATAGGGAGCAAATAACTTCATTTAAAAAAAAAATTAAGGGGGTAATAGGACAATCGTGAAGTATAAGTGTGTGGTTGAGATTTCAGCTATATATTAGGAAATTTTTTTACCATTTCCTCTAAGAAGTATCATGATTTTTAATAATACAAGTATGTAAAAGAGTAATTTATCTCATTTATTAGAGGAAAGGCTCAAAATAGTCCTTCATCTTTGAGTTAAGACTCGAAGTGATCCTTAAATTTTCACATGAAGCATTAATAGTCCCTCGTGTTTGCGATATTGGTGCACTTTTGATCCTTTCCTAAGTTTTGCCTATTTTTAACATTAATTTTGCCCAAAATTTCATATAAGGAATGTCCAATTGTCTTTTTGTATATTTAATAGAAATAATAACTTTATCTGAGAGAAATGATAAGAAAAATACTTTGTTTTGTTCACTAAAAATATTACTGCAGCTAACTCTAGAGGAAAAGAAAAAATTGTACTATTGCACGAGAAATTATTATGATGAACCTCTCGACTTTACCTGCAGTATGATTTCTACTAAACAAAACAAAGTGTTTTTCTTCTCACATACTTTGATATGGAATTGTCATTTCTACTAAATATATAAAATGACGATTGAACATCCCATACATAGGTTATGGATAAAATCAATACAAAAGAATAGGTAAAATTTTGGAGAAAGACCAAAAGTGTACCAATATTGCAAACAAGAAAGACTATTAGTGCTTTATGTGAAAACTTAAGGATCACTTTAAGCCTTAACTAAAAAAAAGAGGGACTATTTTGATCCGTAAAATCATTATTAATGTAAAACAATCAACTCCATTTATTTTATTTTAAATCAAATATCTATCGATAAAAATACATTCACTAGACAATTTATCATTATTTAATTTTCGTATTATAATCTTGATAAGACTAACTATCCACCAAACAAGCCCTTAAAAAAGTTTAGCCTAATACTAGGAACATATGCCATGTTTTCTTCATAAATAACGTGGTTGCTTTAATTTAATGCATTGGTTAATATAGTCCATCAAATTATGACATGATTATGAATTTATGATGGAGTGGAAGTGTACAAGAATGAAAAATAGTAGAGAATATTAAGATGTTGTTACCTAATTAATTATCTTTGTACCACAATTAGCACTAGTATATGCGTTAATATGACATGCCTTGTATAGGATTTGATAGTACTTTTACACTAAAAAAGTCGTTACAGGAAAAACACATTGCACTAAATTAGTTCGATCATCGTACTTGTAATATTAATTTAACACTTGATGGAATTCTTAAGATTCAAGTTAATTATGCTCGTTTAGAATGATTACTTAAGACTGAAAGAAGAATATGCTGCTATAATAATAATAAAGAAATTGTAATCTACGTTAGTTAGATTGTCAGAATTATAGAGTATCAAAAAAAATCTAACATAAAAAAAAAAAAAAGAGGAGAAAAATCAGATATAAAAAATTATGATGCTTTTTACGTCGATAAAAATGGGAAGAAATTTTCTAAAGTTCAAATGTAGAAATAAACTTATAAGGTAATAACAAAGCAAATCAGTAAATTTTTCCTTTCTATTTTAAATTAGGGAAGGTAAAATCGCTATCAAATTTGAATGTGTAAAACCTTAATTTTTATGCAATAGCTTCAATTACAAAATAAAAAAATAGAAAAATTTATATTAGGTAAGTCCGATGCGACGAATTCAATCTAGTGGTAAATCCCTTATTTTAGTTAACAAATAATTTTCCAACTTAAACACCTTCAATTAGGGCTGTTCATAATCGAACTGAAATTGATAAGTCGAACCAATAAAAAGTTATTGATTTATTGTATTGGGTTATTGATTTAGTGGTTTTGATAATGAATTTTTTTTTTTTTTGTTATTGGATTTTTGGTTCTTAACGGTTTGAAGTTTTTTCTTAACGGTTAACTGATAGCCTGATAGTAAATTAAATAATTATATTTATACAATTTTTGTATATAAAGTCATCGACTTAAAGTTTAATTTCCTACTTTTATTTTTTGTTGTCTCAAACACTTGGTTATTCTACAATGTAAAAATGTTTGCTTTTGAGCAAGATATAATTTGTGAACTTAAGTACATGATTTATTTGGTCTGTCACCTTGTTTTTAAGTGATTTTTAATGTTTTTCTTTTTGATCAAATCTTAACTCTTAAATCGATAATAATCAAAAACTGATAAATTAATAACTGATAAGTCAATATCTTAATAATTCTATAATGACTTAGCATCTCAACAAAATAATAACCAATAAGTCAACTCAATAAACTTTAAAATCGAACCAAATCAACTGATAAACAGCCCTATCTCCAGTATAAAAGTGGTATTCGAAATTAATCCACGTCATAAATTGGTGGATTAATAAATACTAAATAAAATCGTAGTTCTCAAAATTTAGGCAAGGATAAGTGTGCAGTGGCAGTATTACTAGGTTCATCCGTATCTAACTGACGTTTTCTAATTTCTATATGTCATTTGTCCATGCCAATAATTTTGCCAACTATAATTTTCATATCCTTTTCTTAATTTTAGCAAATTTAGCTTCTCACATCTCAAGAGGGCACATTATTTCATGTAACATTTGACATCATCTGACTATGTTGTTTTATATTAATTTTTTCGGCCATTGTTATATTATATATATATTTTTAAATTAATTAAATTAATTTTTTAAATTAAATAAATTACATTAATTTAATATTTTAAATAAAAAAGTTTAAATACTCAAAATGTATACAAATAGTACTAAATTACATTTTTTTTCATATTAATATAATTAAAAAATACATTATAAACAAAAATTATTATAATTTGATTTTGAATATTTTTTTATAATAATTAAAAATGAACGGCGGTAGTAGTTGATTATTTTTCAATTGCACAAAAAATCATCAATACTGATTAAAAAAACTTAATTTTATAAATAATTGTGAACACTTTAAAAAAACATCAATTACAAAAATAATAATAAAAATTTTAATTATACTTTCTTGATTTAATAATATGATTAACTAATATAAAAATTTATTTTTAATATAATGATCCACTAATATGAAACGAACAGACCACCATATCATTCAAATTTAGAAAGAATATATACTAATTTATTTGCACATATTATTTACTTTAATATATGAGTAAATATAAAATATCCTTCAAGATTAATTCTATAAAAAACATGGCGATAAACGAAATGAAATTTTCGCAGTTTGTATTTTGCACAAACTATAATTAACAAAGACTGTAGGAGCCATTTGGTTCACGTTCTAATTGCACCAAAATTGTAATACAACAACTAATAAGAATATAAGAATTATTCTTTCAAGTATAACAGAATAATAATGTATGAATTGGTATACATGAGCTGTCTATTTTAAAATTAATTTTTTTTATATGTTTACAAAGTACGTACCACGTATATTTTGATTTCATTTTATATCTGGAATATTCAATACATAGATTCTAATTGAAATTAGTACTATAAAATGACATGTTGCATGAAACAACAAGTATATTAATTTTATTTAAGTCCCAACTAATCAAAACCAGAATTTAGTACTATAAAATGACGTTGCATGAATAATAAGTATATATTAATTTTATTTATGTCCCCACAAATCAAAACCTATAGTGGATCCCGCAGATTTCCATAGTTTTTGGACCTTACTATTCCCTTGCTGAAGCAAAATTTTTTACTAAGTGTATTCGAAAATTAATTTGATCACACGATTATTAGTTCATTTAAGATGTTTAAAATTTATTGAAAGGTCTAAAAATATTAGGTTATAATAATATATTGTGTCAAAAATATTTAAAATATATTATTTTATATATTATTTTATTTATATTCATAAATTTTTTTGATGAAGGGCGTCCTTTCACGTGCATACATATATAAACATTGAAAATTTATTGCAAATGTGCTTAATTATGTTTATAAAATATATATTCTATACCAATTAAAATTTTGATAATTTTATTCTAAATCTTAATTTATTCCTATATAAAGGAAGAACATCTCAAATATTGATCAAATATTAAATATAATATTAGTAATGGCAATTTTTCTTTATCACTATTAAAATTTATTCCGAACACATATTAAGAAAAAAGGAAAAAGATATAAATCATAATTTTACTTATTATTCTCCTTTATAATAAAAGACAAAATTTTAATAAGTAAGAAAACATCTTTTGTTAAACTTGAATAAATTTAATTATTTTGAATAAAATTTTATTAAAATGTTAAAGAAAAATGCACAAGTACTATTTTAATCTATATTCAAAATTTTATACTATACTAAAGTTTCATTATCACTGAACTTATTTTATAAGTAATGATTTACCCTTTTCAGCTTATGTTATATTAGCTTGAAAGAAAAAAAGTCAATCAACATTAGGCTCATAATATAGTATTACACAGGCTGAAAAGAGATAGAAAATTATTAATAAAATGAATTTAAAAAAATAATAAAATTTTTAACATAGATTAAAAAAATACCGGTGCATTATTCAAAATATGTTAAAAAAGAAGTAAAAGCCGATCCGCACCGACCGTATTGCGGTGAGATGATAGGGGCGTTGCGTGACTCTACAGCAATGGAAATTTCCCCTTTTACTGAATTCTAGTCTTTACAGTACAGAAGAGACTCAATTCTACGATAACCGCCTCATCAGTTTTCTCTCTCTCTCCCATCGTCACTTGCTTTGTCCAAATCCCCAACTTCCCCTCCTCCTCACAACACTTTGCCCCTTCAAAAACTAACCCCCCAATGGAAACTATTCAATTCTCTTCAACTTCAACTTCTTTGTTTATTTCAACTTCTTTCTTTTTCTCTCGGGTCTCTCAACAACAATGGAGATGGAGGAAGGTTTTAAGGGGTTACTCAGGTTAATTGGTTCTGTTAAGAATTACGATTGGGGCCGTACGGCGAAGGAGTCTTGTGTTGGACGTCTGTATAGGCTCAATTCTCGGACGAAAATTGATGAAAAACAGCCATATGCCGAGTTTTGGATGGGAACTCATGACTCTGGACCATCCTACATTGTGGTGGAACGAGGAGGAAGAATTCAGAATGGACATGCTAATGGCGGAGGAATTAGAGACAAGTGTTCTTTGAAAGATTGGATTCAGAAGAACCCTAGTGTACTTGGAGAAACTGTTCTTGCCAAATGGGGTACCCAGCTTCCTTTTCTCTTCAAGGTGGTTTCCTCTCTTCATTGCTTTTTATTTGCCCATACTGGGTTGTCGGCAGATTGTGATTTCTCATATTTAGACTGTATAAGGAACCAGGTTCCCTGATCAATTACAGGCTTTCTGTTATAGGTACTCTCAATTGAGAAAGCTTTGTCTATACAAGCTCATCCAGACAAGGATCTGGCAATTCTTTTGCATAAGGAGCAGCCACTCGTTTACAAGGATGATAACCACAAACCTGAGATGGCTTTGGCATTGACCAAGTTCGAGGCCTTGTGTGGCTTCATAAGTCTTGAGGTACTTCATAAGTTGTGCTAGATTTCAAGAAGTTCCAATAGAGTTAAGCAACTTGTTTTACTGGATCTGTGTAGTAATTGGCGGTGCAATAGACGCTCTAGTGCCAGATCACTTGTCTGGGACTAGCTTCTCATGTTTGAATCTGATTATTTATCAGGCTCCAGCATATTCGGAAAATATTCATTCTAAGATCATGGTGGGGACTCTAAGCTGACTGTAGAGCTGTCTCACTTAATTAAAAACAATGATGGGAATTTTTATTAAATATTGAAAGTTTGTTTTGTTTGCTTTCATTGTTTGATTAATAATTAACTGGACCTTTTGTTTTCAACTACTGGAATAAAGTAATGGATAAAGGTCCTAATTAGCTTCTTTATCCTCCATAAATAAAAGACTAATTAGTGGTTGCTCTAGTTAGAATATGTGTATAATAACTAACATGTATGTGTTTTATTATTCTCTATCTATCATATTATCTGTATTGCAAATTTTGGTGGGTTTAAGTCTATAAAGATCCAGAAATTGGGTCTGGACACAATGGAACTTAATACTTCATCATGTAGTTGGTTCTCGTCAAACAAAAAATCTATCTTGTTGGCTTGAGACAATGGAGTGAACTTACAGTTCCACATCTGTTGGACCTAAAATTAAAAATAGAAGGACACTGGATGTGATGATGATTTTCTTTTTCTCCAGGAGCTTAAAGTGATTGTTCAGACTGTGCCCGAGATTGTTGAAGTAGTTGGTAATGCGCTTGCAGAGCTAGTATTGGACTTGAGCGAGGATGATGAAGAGGAGAAAGGTAAATTAGTGCTCAGAAAATTATTCACGGAGATTATGTCAGCTAGCAAGGATGTGATCACGGAAGTACTTGCTAAGCTGATTAGTCGTCTGAACATTAAAAACAAGGTAAAGCATAATCCTTCCATGATTAGATGAAAGTTTTTTTTTTGCCATGATTATATGAAAGCTAAGACTTCCCTTGGAAATTTAATCTCTCTGTGCTTCTGTATGAAAGTTACTCATTTACGTGGCAGAATCTCTCAATGAATGTGAATTCTTATCCTCTTCATTGTCTTAGTTAATTGTTTGTGTCTTATTACACACCTCTTTAACCATTTTCCAATTTAAAGACACTATTTCAATGTGCCCCCTGAATACATTTGTTTGGGATTATAACGGTGGTGTTTGGGCCAACTTTTGAGCACCTCTCTATTCCAATGGGTACTTGCTGCCACCCATTGGGTAACTTTGTCCGCCGAGTTGTATAGACGGAAAGAAATCATTTAGTATCTAAAGAAGGAAAGAACAAGGGATATGGATGTGAATACACTTCGGCTGGACCCACCTATATAACACAAGGCCGCGGAATACTGTCTTGGCCTTCTCTCCTCCCCCTGGCACCCATTTTTTTTTAAAAATCCATCTAAACTGATTAAAGCGTGTGAATAAGAACAACATAAAAAAAGGTAAACAGAAATGCACATCTTCACTCTTCAGAAAACTAGGGATGATGATATTGAACTGATCTGGGCAGTTTCTTTAAATTTTCAATGTTGGTAATTCTCGGTTAATTATCCTTTATGTTGATTTTTAATGGTTGAAAGTGAAAGTTAAGCTTGGGTTGGCACTATCGATTTTTCCGGTGATGAGTGTGGCACTATCGATTTTTCCGGTGATGAGTGTGGCAATATGAAGATTGAACGTTTAGTTTCGTTATAAAAAAATATGAAGATTGAACTTCTAATTTTGATCTATTTTATCATGGTCTAGCTGGGTGTGCAACATACCAATTTTGGCATAACCTACAATTAGTTGCATTTGTTATTCAAATTCCTCCATGGAGCTACCTCTGGTTTTATTATACCATTGGTTGGCGGTGGTTTAATTTTGTTGTATTTCCTGCTTTACTTAAACCTCTGATTTCATAAACAAAAATACAATAACTTTTGTTACATTCAGGAAGCTACATGTAAACTATATTTTCCAGTATTTCTGCTTTAACATGGGAGACACATGATTTTCTTTTACAAATGACTTGTTAGAGGCTTAGAGCTTAACCGCATATTGTGTTGTCTGCTAAAGCATATCTGGAACTGTGCTATTTATATTCATGTTGCTTACTACATTTATTATTAAGGAAGTTGCTTATGCTTTGATGTTTTAGGTAAGGGTGCTGACCGACAAGGAACAACTGGTCCTAGGACTTGAGAAGCAGTATCCATCTGATGTTGGTGTTTTAGCAGCATTCTTGTTTAATTACGTGAAGCTCAATCCTGGTGAAGCTTTATATTTAGGGGCAAATGAACCCCATGCATATGTATATGGAGAATGTGTCGAATGTATGGCAACCTCAGATAATGTGGTACGCGCTGGCCTAACTCCCAAGCACCGGGATGTTAGAACTCTCTGTTCAATGCTCACGTATAGACAGGTACTATTAGAGTTGGTATTAAAGGCGTTCTTTTGTTCTCCATGTTTATCAACCGTTGTGGTATAGGAGACTGAGTTCATTTGAAGGTGAATAGCCGTCAAATTGAGCACACTATAAAAGTCCAATATTTACCATGATGGCCGAAATTCATGTTCAAATCACTTGTCTAGTCGGTTGAGGCAAAGAAGTTCCTAAACTAACAAAACTTATGGAAATTGGTTAGCAACAGTTAGGATACCTCTCAGTACACCTTAGGAGGTAATTTTATTGGTTACGGAAGGCAGGTCAGATGTCTGGCAAGACCACCTAACATGCAGGTTACATGGCATTCCCTATCTTTGATCTATGATCTGAATCAGTGTTTTTCTGTTACAGGGTAACCCTGAAATTCTGCACGGTACGGCAATAAATCCATACACAGTGAGATACCTCCCTCCTTTTGATGAATTCGAGGTGGATCATTGCATTCTCCCCCCATATTCAACTGTTACCTTCCCTTCTGCTCCTGGTCCGTCCATGTTTTTGGTCATGGGAGGAGAGGGAACAATGACCACATCAGCAGAAGTGATTGTGGTTGAAGGTGATGTCCTATTTGCACCTGCAAACACCAATATTACCATTGCAACCTCCTCTGGTTTGCACTTGTATAGAGCAGGTGTAAACAGCAGATTTTTTGAGGAATGATAGTTGTAGGCTTGTAGCCCCTTATGCTTGCTAATAAAACAGTGAATTTTTCTGTTACACTGGCTGTTCCACCTTGTATTAATAGCATGTTCAGGTATATAACCGCTTAAGTTAAGTGTAGTTTGGAAGTTAAAAACATCACTGGAAAGGTGGAAATTTTGCTGTACTATTTCTTCTATTGTCTAATATCAACATTAAGAAAAGGTGCTTTTAGAAAACAGAGATGTTAAGGATTAGAAAAGTACAAATGCAGGAAAAAGAGTTGTACTCTAGTGTGTAAAGTGGGACTAGGTAGGGGCAAGATTTGCTCTCCAGATCTCACTATACCGGATCATACTGATATGTTATTGAGTAAATTAGAGTAGGTGGTGTGCTGTGACTTGTTCGTATCCAAATTCCACTGTATTCATTTTAACCTTAAATTTTTGTTAATCCTTGCAGATGTAGTTTTTGTAATATTGCTGTAAATTGCGATTTATCTGATGGATTTAGTCCCCCTTTAACCTTTGGCATTGTCATTCATCTCTCTGAGATACAAAACAATAGCTGCACCACAGTTGAAGCACACTCGTTAATGAATGCCAATATATATTCTCAAGAAAGTGGAAGTTTAAAAGAAACCCCTAAAATATTATTCTCAAGCCATGTAAGTGTGTCTGATGGAACCAAACCTCACATTTCATTCAGAATTTACAAGATTCAACAGCAGATGGATATCAAAGCCAAATCAAGAAGTTGTTTATGAACTTCTAACAAAAAATTTCATGCTACTGAACCTACTTTTTCTGTTTTGTTGGTTTCTCGACATCAATCTATATCCAACAGATCTCCACAACCAATAAAAAAAGTACAAACTCAATCCTATCTTAACCTCTCAATCTTTGATTGAATCTAAGGCCAAAGCAGTGGTTTCAACTAGCCAACAAAAACCGGACATTAACACGGGGCTATTTTCCTTCATATTTGTGTCCCAGCTTAATTTAAGCTGTTTAACCATGACAAGATTAGCTGTGCACCCTTTCTCCATGAGCAATCTATCATTATATCATGGGCAACCCCTTCAATACAGACTGTTGGGATGCCATAAAATCTTCCTGTTTCATTGAGTCCTTCCATGTCCTGAGAGAATCACATTCATATGTTACTTTCAGAATACTAGGACTATTTAGCTCCAGATTTTACAAAACGCGCAAAATTTGAAACATCTCTTTAACAAATACTTTCCAAGATTATCCAAGAACTTACCACAATGAAATCATCCTTTGCACCCACTACAAGTACTTTAAATGCAGGATCCTCAAGTCGAGATACAGGAAGAGATGCGTTGAGCTTTCTTAGATCAAACAAAGGCATCCTTGAGCTTTCAGTCATTAGCTCTTGGTAACTAAAAAGGAGAAAAGAAAAGGCAAATGTTGCCGTAAGACAACATTGTGTATACATAGATGATTTAGTCAAGGTATAATTCCAACATATAATGCTTAGAACAAGATGCATAGCGAGATCATCTATTCTGTTTAATATAAAACATAACTCTCGAGCTTGATATTCAAACAAAATTACAAACATAATCTAGGAACTACACAGAACAAAATGTTAACGTAAACTCGATGACCACTATCCGAACTGGAGATTGAGTAACTCGGAAAATTTACATTAGTGGATTTTTGGAAAGAGCAATCCTCAAGCTGACATTAGAATAGTATATGCATCAGTTACCAGATCTTTACAATTCGACCAGGAAACTTTCAGTTCAAGTTACTAATACTTGGGAAGTGGTAGGAATAACTCAAGTGGGTAACATGTTTAAAGTCAACTTTTGCCACTCTTAGATTATCTAGTAGTACACAGGCATCTTCAAAATCCTCCTAATACCAGTGATGGAGAACATAGAAATGAGTTCTACGAAGGTCTTTGTCTATTAAGTCATTTACTCTTTCATCTGATATCTAAAACAATAACCATCTAAGTTCTAAAAAAAACCCATCTAAGTTCTAATTTGACTGACCGTGCAACCAGCTGATCCTCCATTCCTGCTGAGAAAAATGTTTCTTTACAAAGCGGTAAAGATGTTTGAAACGCTTTGGCTGCCAGGCTCCGAGTTACCTGCTCGAAATATCAAATTCACCATTTTGAAAAGAAAAAAAACGAGGATGTGCAAACGGGGCAAAAAGTAAACAGATGACGTTTCACTCACTTTTTTAATCATCGATAGTATTCACCGAAAAATCGAAACAGGAAGAATGGGTCCAAGTGGCTTCACTATGTACATATGTATGCCTAGTAAATACCAGTCTGTATCTGAGATAAGTGTGTATATGGTTTCTTTAAACTAAATAGACAAACCTTGAAAGCAGCAAGAGGCTTGGAGAAGAGATATCGCCATACTAAACCACTGAATAAAATAAAAGGGAAACAAGTTATTGAGTGAAAACAAAGTTCGTATGGAAGACAGGCCTTTTCAGTACAGGAAGTCACCTATTACCGGAAGGGGGTACTGAGCAAACGAGCACTGCTCCAGAAAGATTGGGGAATAAGCTTTTCTTTTCTGAATCAGAACCTGTAGCACCAAAAGAGCAAACTGTATGGATTGAGTAGAAGTAACCACTGTGAGGAACTTTTGGAATTGAGAGTAGAAAATGCAGTATGCCTTAGTTTGCAAACAATAACAAAAACACGATGACCTTTTACTGCTTCTCTTCTAATATTTGCAATGTAATACTGAACAATTAGCCCCCCAAATGAATGTCCAAGCAACACTGGTGGCAACCTGATCTCTTTGTGGATGAAGTCAGCAATATCACCAGCATGTGTCTACTGAATGCAGCAAAGTACAGAATTAGAAGGAACTGAAAACCGTTTCAGCAATGCACTAAGAGAAACCTGAATGAGAAATGTCAGCTCAGCGTAAATGTTATTACTCAAGCAACTTCCTGATTGACAACCAACAAGAATCTAACAGAAAGAAATGTAAAATACCTCGAGGGTACCTGCAACTGCAGCAGCAGGTGAATCACTTTCTCCCTGGCAATGTCAAAAAGGGTACATATACATTAATAACGTACCTTTGCTACTTCGATAGGGTTGCATTGCTATTTCACCATTTAAATGATAAATGAAATATCTTGGCGAAGTAACTAGTGGAATCTATTTGATCAAGTAAACAAAAGCTGAATATTTATCTGAGATTACAATTCTTCCAACATTATCAGGTCTTTTCTAAGGTAAACATTTAGTCGAACATAAATCAAACTGCAAATTAGTTCAGTCGGCTAATCGATCATCAGTACTGAATTAAGCATTATCTGGATACCGAAAAGAAATTAAGCAGTATTTTACATACTTTTATTCATGTAATTGCAGTGTAGAGTACCTGTCCCAACAAGCTGAGAGCATAAGAATCATATCCATTTTGGGAGAAGAAGGGGAGCCAGTGTTCAGCCCAGCACCAAGCAGCATGAAAGCTTCCATGAACAAAAACTAAAGGTGGGTTTTTAGTAGATCTTATCTGGTCACTGCCCCTCTGGTAGAGAACCTCCATGTTTAGACCAGAGGGAAGCTTGTGAAAAAGACGAGATTGTTCCTGCTTCAGTTCATAAGGAACCTTCATTTTGGGATCCCTCTTTAACACAGCACGAGTTGTTGATACTCCTCTCGATTGAGGAAATTTGGGAAGAATCAACGTACAGACCGTAGCCATTGTTTCTCACTACTTTTTTCCAACTGCTTTCTGTTTCCTTCTTCTCTTCCGTCTCACTTTATCACTTTAGGAATTTTTTGTTTCTTTTTTTACTTGTATCGATTTTTTTTTTTTGTGACAGCTTAATGTACTTGCTAACTTCAAATTTGAACATTAAAATCACACATACAATTTTGAAATTAAATTTGGTAGTTCAAATTCAAATATATAGGTATGAAATTGAGGATGATTAAGATTTAAGCCTAATTTAGAATCTAAATATTTTAAGTTCAAACGGTACAAATAATTTCAAACTAAAGTTTGACTTGTATAATTTTTGATACAAGTCTTGAATTGATTCTAAAATGGTTTAAATATTCAATTTGTTTGATCTAATTTTTCTTTAATAATTTTATAAACGGAAAAGGCTCAAAAATACCCCTGAACTATCACAAATAGCTCATGTGTACCGTTAAACTAAATTTTGGCTGAAAAATACCCTTCTAATAAATTATTGGGTCACTTTTACCCTTACTTTTAACAAAGGCGTGTTGAGTGCCACCTAGAACGCCACGTGGACACCACGGAAGCACCAAACAACCTCATCTCCACATAGACTCATAAAATCTTAATTATAATTTTTCCCTCGTTTCTCTAATAGATACAATTTTCACTTATTCTCGTTTCTCTAAAACATATTATGATTCCTCTTTCTTTCTCTTATACGATTTTCCCTTTCTCTTATACGATTTCCCCTAGGGTTTCACATATTTCCTTTCATGAATGCCATTAAATTTCAGAATTAATGAACCTAGGGGAAATCGTATAAGAGAAAATCGTAGTATGTTTTAGAGAAATAAGATGGGTGAATTGTATCTATTAGAGAAATGAGGGAAAATCGGAAACTAGGATTTTATGAGTCTATGTGGAGGTGAGGTTGTTTGGTGCTTAGGTGGCGTCCATGTGACACTTAATGCACTTCTGTTAAAAGTAAGGATAAAAATGACCCAATACGTTAACAAATGGGTATTTTTGAGTCAGAATTTAGTTTAAGGGTATATATGAGCTATTTCTGATAGTTCAGGGGTGTTTTTCACCCTTTTCCGTTTTATAAATGATTTTTTAAAAATAATTCTATAATTTTATATTTTATATTTAAAATAACAAAATTAAACAATATTTGGGTGTGTTTCGTATGGAGGAAAATATTCTTCGAAAAATATTTTTCAATTTTCTCATGTTTGGTTAGGTCTAATATTTTGAAAAATATTTTCCAAATCAACTCATTTTCTCAAATTTATGGAAAATGACTTCTCTTTAATACTTAAGGAAAACATTTTCCAAAACTCTCTTCCAACCTTCCCATACTCACCCACCCTACCAGCCCCACTAGCTCCCAACCAGCCTCCACCCCCACCATGAATATTTTTTATGTTTATTCTTTAAAAAAAAATTCAACTTCAAGAATGATTTTCTACTCTAGTAAAAAATAAAAGATATTTTCCAAAAATATTTTTTACTCAAAAAACAAACGCTAAAATATTTTTCTGAAAATATTTTCTAATCAGCAACCAAACATGAGAAAATAAGTCAAATATCTATTTGTTTTCCAGGAAAACATTTTTTAGGAAAACAGTTTCCATGAAAAACATTTTCCTTTATACCAAACACACCCTAAGAGATTATTACAGTTTGTTTATATTTAAGGGTAAAGTTGAAAGTAGTTTAGTTATGTGGTTCTCTACTTTCATTACGTCAATCTTTCT